GAATACTGTATGGTATTACTTACATGTGGAATCTAAATTAGGAAAAGCAAAAGTGAAACTCATAGAATCTGAGAGTATAAAAGTGGTTGCCAGGGGCCAGGGGGTGAAGGAAATAGGGAGAGGTCAGTAAAGAGAACAGACTGTCAGCTATAAGATGAATAGGGTCTGAGGATGTAACCAATAACATGATGACGGTTTTTGATAACACTATAGTATAAAATTGAAATTGGCTCAGAGAATAGAATTTAATTGTCTTCACCCAACCCCCAAAATAAATAAATTAAACATATGAGATGATAAATGTGTTAATCAAATGAGGGATTCCTTTCACAATGTATGTGTGTGTCAGATTACCATGATATACATACACTTTCAATATCTTACATTCTTATATGTTAATTATGACTCAGAGCTGAAATTTAAAAAAAAAACCAATAGACTCAAGGAAATAAGGGGGAAATAGCAGTATCAAATCAATATCTAATCTTCAAATCTATCTCTTGCCCTCAAATATTTGAATATACCTAATGTGGTCACACAATGTAAAAATGTGCTCCCTGGATTTGGCTGAATTTGGCACCATGTATCCACACAAATCTCTGAGGGCAAAGTCCTCTGTCTGCGCTGTCTTCCCGGCTTCTTATTGTTTTTCCCACACTGAACCATGAATTCATAAAGTATGGGTTGATAAAAACACTGTACGTTATCCGTGCTCTGCTCTACCCAGTGATCAGTCATCCAGCCTTCCTTGAATAATTCAAAAGATAGAGAACCCTGTTTTACAAGGCGACTCAATCCGCTGTCAGAGCGCACTGATCATGGCTTCTGCTTTCTGTATGTCAGAGTCTTTCTGTTTATAAGCAGCTTTACTTCCATGCTCTTGAGCCCTGATTCTGGTCGACCTCAGCAGTTGTGTGCCTCCCTGTCTGCCTACCCACAGGCTCCACTATCCCATCCACTTCTCATTTCATGTAGAAATGCTTGAAATTATTAACGTTTCAGAATCCCGGTTTATCTGCACAACCTAGCCTCTTGCACACAGGAGGAAAGCAGTTTTTATTCTTTTCTCCTGATGGTAGTTCCTCTGAGGTGGCCACTCAGGGTGCTTGCCCTGGCCTGCGGACCCCACTGCCCCCCCACTGGTAATCAGCATCACAGTGTAGCGAGGATTCCCGGAGGGGAGCCTGTCTCTCTTCTTCCGGCGGCCGGACCCTTTCTGACGTGACCTAACGCGCTCTCGTAAGTCAGAAGTCAAGGGAATATTTTTGTTTGGCTGAGTTCTAAACACAAGGGCATTTCTTTGCTTTGTTTTGCTATTAATTTTATAATACATCACATGCTCCAGTGGACATTTTCCAATGCTCTTGAAAGTTTAATTAATATTTACCATGTTGAAGGGTATCTTTATGAGGACCTCTACTGACAGATGGGATTACGTCTGTGATTTGCTTTCCAGTTTGGTTGCTCGGGTGTCACATAGGGTCGTGATGTGATCTGATCAACAATCTCACTCCTCTTGTTAGGTTGCAGTCTTTAAAAAAGAAAAAAAAAACCTTTAGCCAAACCTAAAAACAAATTATAGAGGAAATTACTCTCTGAAGTTCCTAGAAATTATTGAAATGTTTATGCTGCAAAGGCATTGGGTTCTGAAAAATAATATTAGGTGAGTTTCTTTTTTACAGCCTTGACAAGCGGTCCTAGAGGAAGTTGAAATAAGCAATCTAGATGAGAGGAAAATGTCATTACTTATTAATCAGGCAAACAAGCAAAAAGCTGAATGTCATTATAAGGTGTCTTAACCAGGTAAATTTTCAGTTCCAGTAAAACCAGAATCTTCCCTCTAGTCCTTAGAAAGAAACTGGAAGTTAATCCGAGATGAAGGCCTTGCAGTGATGGATAAAGCCCAGGGCCTCTTCCTGCCGGAAGATGAGAACCTGAGGGAGAAGGGCGACTGGAGCCAGTTCACACTGTGGCAGCAAGGTGAGCCCCTGACTTCTGGATCCTTCCCCACAACCTGGTGGGAAGGGGGCACTTCCGGCGGTGTTTCCCAGAGCCGGGACTCCCCGGCTTAGAGGAAGCTGCCTGGGAAACCCAGCTGATCAAAATCCATTCGTTGCTTTTAAAAACTACGCGTGAACACTCATTTGTGTGTGTGTGTCTGTGTGTGCGTGTAAATATACATGTGTATGTGTGCATATGCACGTGTGTGTTTGCATAAATATTCAGAAATTGTATTTTGATTTTCCCGGTCTTTGCTGTTAAATGGTACATTACAAAGAGTAACCCCACTGTACAGGCATAACTGAAGTCCACCATGAGCTCATCAGTGCCCTAGAGAGGGGCTTCCCTGGCACCTCCTTTGCTTCCGCACAGGAGACGATGTTGCACGCAAAATGGTGTCACCACGGGCAAGCGCCATTGGGGCAATGATGGCACACCAGGGTGATGAGTCCGTAAGAACGAATGTCTGAGCTCATCAAGAACAGGAAGTGGTTCACCATCAACCTAATACTCCCTGAGCTGAACGCAGGTCCAGGCACACAGGCAGGGCTCCAGGGTGTGCGTTCAGTGAGTCACTGTATCAGTCTCTCCTCAAAAGGTGAAGCGTTGAATCTTACCTTTAAAGCTCTTTGCAAGTCTCTTCTTGAAAATTCGAGTTAACTTGGGTTAACAACTGTACAAAAGTAAATCCATTTTGAGGACTAAACAGCACGTGTCTCACGTCTTTAGCTGCAGAAAGTAAATCAAGAGAATGATAAGCAGTGGGTTTTTATTAAAGGACAAATAAGCGCCATCGTTTACCTCAGTTTGCTTCCAGAATACTCAGATTTACACAGCAGAGGAAGAAGGACGACTTCAGTAATATCTTCAAGGCAGCGTCCATCGAAAGAGAGATCACGTGATTTCAAGTGACTGTCAGCTTTTTGCCAACGAGGTCTTTTTAAATAGGGCTTTAGAAAGGTCAATATGTGAACAACATGCTAATTTCATCTATTGGCATCTCACTCAGTGAGTCAATTGTGTTGGCCTTAAGCACTCACCAGCTCATCGGATGCCTCAGTTCCGCCGACATCCTTGTGCTTTGTAGATGCTGTTGGGCTTCCAAGAATAAGGCTTCAGAATAGTATCCATCCTGGCAGTAATTTCCAGAAACCATAGTCTCTGCTAAGAACATGTGCTTTAATAAGGTTGAAATATGCAAAGCATCATAGGGCATATAGAAATATTAGGCAAGAAAGGAAGTAAATAATGGAGACTGATTGGAGGCAATATTTTGACTTTTAAGTTTTAGGGGGTTTTTTAATTTTAACTGCAGCAAAATACACATATGTTAAAATTTACCACTTCAGTTATTTTTAAGTGTACATTCAGCAGAGGCAGTTAAATCCATATATTTGTGCAACCAATCTCTAGAACTGTTTCATCTCGAAAAACTCAAGCTCGATACCCAGTAACAATAGTCCCCATTGCCCCTCCCCCAGCCCTTGGCAACCCCATGGCACTTCCTGTTGCTATTAAACTGACTACTTTAGACACTCGTATAAATGGGATCACACAGTGTGTGTTGACTTGTAAAATCATGTATTTTGATTATACCTGATTTTCCATAGTCATTTCTTACAGTATTTTTTACTTTATTGATACCTTTGTTAAATCCTTCTTCCCACTGGATGGAATTTGTAATGTTCTTTTTTTTTTTTCTTAAGTTTGACAGAGTGATCGATTATGTTCTTTAAAAAGAACTCAAATTACATCTCACCTTATTATGATTATGTTTTTCTAATTCCTGCTTTTATATTTTTCTTCCTCCTCTGGTTCTTTTGGCTGGTTGTTAATTTTTTTTTTCTCTTTTAAACTTTTCAATTAGAACATCTTAGTAAATTTATTTTCATTATTTCTTCTTCAGTAATAAATGCATTTAAGGCTGTGAACTGACCTCCGGATACAGATTTGGATGCTTTCTTTAAGCTGTAATGTGTATTTTCACTGGCATTATTTCCCAAAAAAGATTGCATTTCTATCTTGATTTCCATTTTTATTCAAAATAATTTAGAAGTGTGTGTGTAGGGGGGTATCTTAAGTATGTGTTTTCCAATCCTTTGCAGTTAATTAAGTAGAAATTAATTTCTAGTTTTATTTTACAATCATAAAATAACGTAACTCCCCTAGTTTCTCTTTTGGGAAGTTTTATTAAGACTCTTTGTAGACTTTTGTTTGTACTTCCAGGGGAACAGAAGGAATCCAGTTAACTATTTTCTGGAGGCAAATTCACAGCTTAAAGAATTCTGAAGGCCACTAGTACCATAGCTCACATGCAAGCAGGTTGGCATCCCTGAAGGCAGGTGCCCTCTTGGGCCCTGTGACCCGGAGACAGAGGAGAGGGAATCCTGAGGCAGGAAGGGTCGGAGACGATGTGGGAAGGAGGGCAGCAGGGCCACACTGAGAGCGCAGGTCCAGACAAGAACCTCTTGAGTGTCTGACTTAGTGAAGGCTTAGAGGTTGTCTAGTCTGGTGAGGAAAGGACGCTGCTGGATACAGAAAGGCCTTGAAACTGTGACTGCAAGCTTCATTTTTATCCAAAGGGAAGTTGGAAACATGGAACGTCCCTAAGGAGCCCAGTCAGTTCTGCAGTATATTTATTCCTTTTTAAATAATCAACTTTTTTAAGTTGGAGAAAAAACAATCAACAGATATACATACTGATTTTTCCCCACAGATGTTTTCAAGTTGCTATGTGAATGCTACAGAACATCTGTTTTTCCCGAGTTTGTTTATTGTCACTAACAATGAATGCTAAAATACACAACAAACAGGCCACATGTGAGCAGTCATTCTTTCTTCCAGAGACTGTGGGAGATGTGCTAGCTGATCCCAGTAGCCTTTTTGGATGAGCTCAACCTCTGAATCCTTCTCAACACGGTATTCCGATCGACTGATCAGAGTTGTCATGCAAGACAAACCTGTTGTCATCCTAGCAGTAAAGCCTTGAAATTTAAGAAAGATACAACCCAGGACCTTTAAAAACATCCCAGCTCCATGGCTGCCCCTCAGAAAGTGCATTCACGTGCAAATGAAATACTCAATTGAGTCTTTCAGACCTGCGTTGGCAGTTAGATCTCTTTCTAGGGCCACTTCTCCAAAGAAACAAAGTTTATCACTTCTCAAAATTTACTTTAAACTTCGTAAGAAATTTTTTAAAAATGGTAACAAAACCACATTGAGTTCAGCTGCTGGACAGCTGAATGGTTTGTTCTGCACAGCTGTGTTCAAATCCAAGCTGCAACAAAAAGGTAAATCATGCTTTAAAGCATAGCCTTTGGAGACCAGCAGTCCTGGGCTGGAGTCTTGGCTGCACCACCTGCTGGCATGTGATGTGGGCATGTTCCTGAATCTCTGAGCCTCAGATTCCTCGTCTGGAAAATGACGATGATCATAGAGCCGGAAATCTGATGTTGTTACTCGGGTCAGTGAGCAAAGGTCTGACATACAGATAAATGATTGTGATTCTGGTTTTTTATTACATCATAATCATATATTATGTAATAATAACAGTAATGGAGGTGGTCTTAGGTCTCGGTTAAGAACAGGGCTCTGGGTCCAATTCCTCCTCTTCCACTTACCGTGTGATCTCACGGTGCCTTGGTTCCTCTTCCGTAAAATTTGATTCCAATAGCACCTCCCTCACCAGGGGTCGTGGGCATCCGATGAGTGGTCTCTGGCCCACGCTGAGCACCGCGGAAGTGTGGTTGCGTTCCTAAACCTTCCGTATCGTGTGTGAGTCGTTAAAACCATCAAGGGCAATCCACAAAGGTCGAGCAGCTACCAGACAGTTCCTCCCCTTACCGGGAACCTGTGTACAGGCTAGAAAAGACTTACGTCTAAACAGCTAGTCCAGTCCGGACCGAGAGGCAATCCTAGTGACCCAGTCCATTAGGCTCCCCGTTTATTACGTAGCATTAATGTAAGACACACGTGTTTTCCAAGTAACACATGTTCAGACCTCCCCGCTGTGCCTGTGGGACGTCCAGACACCTCTGGTTGCTCCTCAAGGCACCAGGCTTGACTTAACTGCTGCCTGAACAGCGCAGAACCCAGAACTGAGACGTCTGCTACGTCCCCCCGATTCTGCCTGTGGGAATGCCTGGGAAGCTAGGGTTTAAAAACTCTTTATGAGGCTTATGCAGGAATCTGTTTCTTCAAACTGACATTTATCATTAAACTCATTTGGGGTGTTCAGTTAATAACTAAAAACACCAATTCACATTTTACTCAAGAGGCAGAAGAAAACTAATGTAGACTTCAAAGTTGTTTTCTAAAATATCGAGGCCCATTTGACTGAGGAGAATGCCTTTCAGATGCATTCCTTGTAACTCGCATTTGTTCTCAGTATGTAATTATCTTAGGACACAATTAACATTAATTAAATAAAATTAAGCTCAGCTTTCGATGTATCAGTCCCTTATAGGAATCCTGAATAGGGAATTAAAATGTCTCTGTCAAAAAAATCCATTGTTTTGCTCTTGCATGAGAGCAATGATGCTGGACGTTCCTGAGCGCGTCTTCCCTAAGAAACAGTGATTTTGTGTGTAATGGTGAAGAAATTTGTATAGTCCAGGGTACTTAAGACTATTCCCCAAATCTGTGTACCTGACACAGTCTCACAGAGACCACCGTGTCTGAGACTTCCTCCCCTCTTCATTTAAATCCTATTCTTTAACAACATGTAAAGGATGAGCTCCACGTTGAAAAATACATTAAATTTCAATGAAAAAATAATGTTTAGGTTATTAGAATATAGTCCTAGAAATGCACTTTTAGGTTAGAAATAGAACATAAGCTGTTTTCCTCCCTTGAGGATGTATTAGCTTACTGTGGCTGCTGTAACAAATTGCCATAAATTTAGTGGCTTAAAATAACTCAGATGTAGTGCTTTTATAGTTCTGGAGGTCAGAAGTGGGTCTCACTGGGCTAAAATCAAAGTGTCATCAGGGCTGCATTCCTTCCAGAGGCTCTAACTTCCAGAGACAGCCCACATTCCTTGGCTGTGGTCCCCCTCTGTCTTCAGAGCCAGCAATGGCCGATCAAGTCTTTCTCACTCTGGCACTGACCCTCCTGCCTCCCTCTTCTGCACTGAGACCCTGTGATCACACTGGGCACATCCAGTTAATCCACGATAACCCCCTTATTTATAGGTCAGCTGGTTAGTAATCTCATTGTCATCTGCCACCTTAATTTCCTGTTGCCATGTAACATACCATATCCACGGGTTCCTGGGCTGAGGATGTGGACATCTTTGGGAGGGGCCGTTATTCTGCCTGCCACAGGGCAGAAAATAAGTATTCAACACATGCCTTGTCCATTAGACTTCCTAAGTCGAACAGTCCAGCGCTGAGAGGAGGATTCTGGTCCTTGCTCTGCCAGTCACTGTCTAGTGGAGCGAAACATTATCTTCTTGTGTTTACTCAGCCTTCTCATTCTTACAGGGAGGGGGACAATCTAGACCATATGTGGTCAAAATGGGATGAGTTGAAGCTTTATTGTGATTTGTTTCTAACAATGGTTTTATCATTTATTGTTCTAGGAAGAAAAAATGAAAATGCCTGTAAAGGAGCACCTAAAACCTGTTCTTTGCTCGATAAATTCCCCGAGACAACAGGATGCAGAAGGGGACAGGTACCCAGAATGATTTCAGTGCTGGGAAGAACCGCTATTAGGAATGAAGGAATGCTGACATTTACAAAGAAACATTTATTTCCTTTGACCCACTGAATGCCTCTTTATTTGCTCACTTTCTACTGACACATCATTTCATGCCCTTGACGTCAGGACTGAGGGTGGAAAATGTTCGATGTCTATAGCTTTGTGGAAAACGGGAGTCCTTACTTTAAGTTCCTTCACAAAGAAATAAGATGAGAATATAAATTCTGAGTGCTCCAAAGGCTCTAACCTAAACTGACAGTAATTTTGTACTGTCACGTTAATTTAGCACATCTCCCACACCTGGACAAATGGATGAACAGTGTGGTATATTTTCTGTGCAGATCAAATACTCCGTCATGCACCCAGGAACCCACGTGTGGCCGCACACGGGACCCACAAACTGCAGGCTCCGAATGCACCTCGGCTTGGTGATTCCCAAGGAAGGCTGCAAGATCCGATGCGCCAACGAGACCAGGTATGTTTCCTCCCATTGTTTTCTGTCCTACTCAACACCTCGGAGGGCGGATGCTCGTTACAACAAAGCAGTGTTCTGTTGGATTATTTTACTTCCTTTGTAACTGAAGGAGACTGGGGTGCATGGTGTTAATCTGAACCCCTTAGTCTCTGTCCCACCTCTGTGCTCTCTGTTGGTCTGCAGGTATTCCCCGATTCCAGGGCTGCCCGCCTTCCTCATTTCTCCCCAGAGCACGCTCGTCTGGTCGATGAGCCTTCTGGCTTCTTTTTCTAGATGGACAGACTTGCATTCAGGGCCAGCTGACTTGTACTGAGCCCTACACATAGGACCCATTGTGTTTATTGCCTTCCAACTTGATTTGTTCATCAACGCAAAGAGTCTTTCTTCCTGAAGAAAACACCGGGTGACTTTTATACGTGTTGATCTAGAGAGACGGCGTGATGCTGTGGACGCGGCTGCCTCTTTCTAATCCCAGCTCTGCCAGCTAACCCTGTGCACCCTTGGCCAGTGACTTAATCCCCTGGAGCCTCAGCCTCCTTACTTATAAAACCAGCAGTGATGCTGTCTGCTTTGCAGGGCTGTTGTATGGATTAAATGAAATAAAGCGTACAAGGTGCTCAGCCCCGGTTCTGGCGTGAGCAGGGACACGGTGACTGCTAGGGCCCCTTCCTCCCATGCCTCTTCCAGCCCTCACCCTGTTACTCCCTTCACCTGGAACGCCCTTCTTTCATGCTTCCACAATAAACATATGACTAAGATCCAACTTCGTTTCTTGAGAAGGAACCTCTCTTTTGACTTAGAATGTATACAGTGTATATTCTCAGCGACACTGTTCTTTATCTTCCGTTGCTTTTTATTAGTATATATTAGTCTAATCTCTGTGCCTGAGCTGTCAGCGCCTGGAAAGCAGAAACCAAGCTGCTGTCTTCTGCATCTCTCACAGTCCTTAGTAGAGGTTTGATGGAGGGGGTGTTCAGGAGGGTGCAGCGTCACTCATGTGGTTGCTGGCAGACACCTGCCTGCCCTGGGTGTGGTGCAGCAGCGCAGAGTGCTGTGGGACATTCCGAGCTGACCCACCTGGGGGCCTTTCCCTGCCAGCGGTGTCTAGTCAGGGGGAGAACGCAGCTGGAAAGTCGCGAGTCAGAGGGGCACAGGTAAGAATGCTGCGGGTGGGTCACTGGGCAGGCAGCTCGTTTACGCCTGAGCTTTGGGGACCGTGACAGTGGTGGCTTTCAAAGACAAGGAAGGATTTGGACATTAAGAGCCAGGAGAGCGGGGCCTTCCAGACTGAAAGAATAGCGTCTGCAGAGGCCCGGCTGACCGGCCGTGCCTGAGGGGTGCTGAGTGATTTCAGCAGCCGAGAGTGGGGGATCCCATTCAGAGGTAAACGGAAGCGCGCTGCAGGTTCCGAGAGTTAATCTGAGCGTTAAAAGGTCGAGCCAGGCCGCGCCCAACCGAAGGTGGTCAGGAGGGCTCTGCCGCCAGGAGCTGGGGACCAGGTTTTCCTAGAGAAGAAGCTGAAGCAAAAACAAAGAAATTATTTGACTGGCAACAGCGGAAGCGCTGCCTTGTTTGGGGAAGCCTGCGTGGCTGTTGGTGATGGGCTGCTCGCAAGTCTCACCTTCTCAGATTCCAGTGCAGGGCTCCTGCTGGTTTCGGTTTGCTCACGTAGGCATTAGAGCCACCTTCATCTCAGTGCCTCCTTGTTTAGTTACTTTAACAGCACGTAGAGAATGAGGTTGGAAAGAGCAGGTGGATTGGAAACTAGATCACAGAAGGCTTTGAGTACCAGACCAGTGGAACCAGACATTGGTAGGAAGGTGTTCAGAATCCATGGGTGAGCCCTCTGGGGACTTGGGGAGAGCAGTTAACAGACTGTCGCCGCAGCCCACCCAGGAGAGCTGGAATCGGGATCCTGGCAAGAAAGGGAGAGTCAAGAGCAGATGCAGGAGATGTGATGAAGTTTGACTCAGGTGAGTCGAGTGTGGGGGGGAGGAGGGAAGGGAGTCCATTTTGGTCAGTTCGTGGGTGGTTAGCAAACATTGAGAACTTGGGAGGTGTGAGGCAGGTTAGGGGAACAGGTAATGAGTCCAGTGTTCATATACTTAAGCAATTTGGTGAATTAAAAACACCAGTCAAGTTTCTTTACTCCTGTGTTAGCATGCTGTGTCTATGGCTGTCCAGATGCACAGAGCTAAGTCTACATCCCGACAAGGAATGGTAGTTCCCACATTGAAAATAGATTGTGTGCAGACATTTGTTCGTTGAACTGCAGGTTGGGAATTTGGACAGTTGGGACCCATGTTCCTGTGGTAATAATAAATGGCGTGGCGGTTCCTGGGCCAGCCCCTAAAAGCCTCTTAGCTCACGGTCTTTGTTCATAGGGCTCTAGCACCAGTGGCTGTTTGCAATAATGCTTCTATGGGAAAATGTTTTCGCTTCAGATTTGAACATTATGTGTCTTCATAAAAGCAAATTAAGAGCACTGAAGTCCTGTGAACTACCTGGATTCAAATCCTGGCTTCCCCTCTTGAAGCGTAACTTTAGACAACTTGCATGGCCTCACTGAACCTCAGTTTCCTCATCTGTAAAACGGAAAGAATGAAAGAATGTCTTGGTGTGGATTTGCGTATCAAAGTAACCCATATACGTGCACTCAGAACTGTCTCCAGGGTCTTACGTGGTGAATGTGCTCAGTACTTTTGAGCTTCCCTTGGGCTCTCCTCTGATTGCTGCAGAAATGGGGACTCCTGCCCCTTACTTTCCAGAAAGTGAGACCAAGCACGCCTGTACCTGTGAACGTGGTCCCCGTAGCCTGCAGTGTGCACTCTGGCGGGGGTGGGGGAGGGGGCTTGCGGGAGCTAGGAGGGAGGAGGGGGATGGGAGGTCGAGGATGTGCGGGGCCAGGGCTGGGGATGTGATAGGCCTGAAGCTGGGAGGGGTGCCGGGGAAGGAAGGCAGAGCAGGGACAGGGGCTGGCCGCCCCGCTCCAGTCCTCCTTTTGTCCCCATGCCCCTCCCCCTGGGACTAGAGATCCCGGAGGAGGGGGCAGGGGCATCCCATCTCTGGCCACGGGAGTTCTCCTCTCACTCTTCCCTTTCTTTGTCCCCCACTTTTAGGCTTTCTTAGCTATCTTACAGAGCCCTCTGCTACTGGGTGAGCTGGGACATGAAGAGGGGGAGTCAGAAGGGACAGAGAGAGTCAGCACAGGGGGTGGGCCGCAGGGCTGAATCCCCAGGCCCACTTGGAGGGGAGGGAGCCCTGCGGCAGCCTGGCTGGAACGGCTCTTCCAGTGAGGGGCTGTGAGATATACTCGGGGTGTGCAGGTGCAGAACCTGTAGGGAAAAGAGATTCTTTGTGAAGCTAGCCACCATCTCTTACTGAAATTATTATTTTGACATTAAACAAAATAGCAAATGCCATACCCATTTCTCAGATGACAGTTTGAGAAGTATATCCTATGAAATATAATAGGAAAACTGAGGCAGTGAACAGGTTGGCTCAGAGAATGAAAAGAATTTCGGTGCTGAAAGGAGCCCTGGAGGCCACCTTGTCCACCTCCATCGTTGCACAGATGGGGACACTGAGGCCCCCAGGTGAAGCGCTTTGTCACAGACGTGTGGCTAGTTAGCAGCAGTCAGAACAAGAACACAGATATCCTAGCTTCCAGAAAAAATGTCCCTGTAGACAGACAGACAGACAGACAGACAGGAAAACTATGTGTGTGTATATTTCTGTCTGTATTATTAGGAGGGGAGAGAGAAGAGACGTGGTAATGATGCAGTTTTGCATTTCAGTTCCCGTGTGTGCAGGGTTTCCAGTGCAGCCAGCATTGAGGACCTTCTGCAGGTCAGAATTAAGAAGAGCTGTATTACAGTAGCCTTATTCCCGAGCCCTTTGACCCTCTTCTCCATTCCGCTCAGCCTTCCGGGCCACCTCAGCATAGCAGCTACAGATGCTAAGAATGTTCCCCAGTACCGTGATCTTGAGCTAAAGTTTCGGGCTGTAACGAAGCCAGCCTCGTTCCTTTCTGCTTCCTCCACAGAATCGCGAAGTCCGTGCAGGCATCTGAACTAACCCCCCTGTGATTGCTTTGCTGGAAAATTACAGCCATGTCGTTTGCTGCCTCAGGACATTTAGCAG